TCCCACTCCCAATTCCCCAAGCCAGTCCAGAAGGATACCATGGTTGATGGTACCGAAAGCCACTGAGAGATCATGGAAGGCCAAGATGGATCCCTCACTTCCGTCCCTTGTCCTCCATAGGTCATCAGCAAGCATGACCAATCCTGTCTGAGTTCTATGATCAGGCCTGAATCCAGACTGAAAGAGGTCTAAATAATCTGCTTCCTCCAAAGCCCTTTGGAGCTGTAACTCAACCACTTTTTCAACTGTCCCTAAAAAAGGAAGGTTGGAAAATAGATAAAAATTGTTCAGTTCTGTTGCATCCAGCAATGATTTCCTGAGGAGGAGGCAGACCACTACCTCTTTAGGAGCCGTCAGAACCATCCCCTCTCTCAAGCATGTACTGAGATGGATCCACTGCCTGGATCTAACTACATACCCCCACCCTGGAGATTTTACCAACCAGGATGGACATAGTTCCAACACAGAGATGGTTGTCCTAACAGCTCCAAGGACCCTGACCACTTATTCTTGCCCATGTGCTTTCTGCCACAAGAAGAATTTGGTTATAAGTCATTTTATTATCTCATCCACTGTCAGCCCCTTGAGGTAGTCCAGACAAGAAAACAAAACCATGAGTACTAACACTACCTTTATTGTAAGATTACAGTAATAGAATCTTACATGTCTGAAAGCATGTCTCTCCCCTCTTGCCTTTACTTACCAGGGAAACAGGGATGGTCCCTTCTTAACCCACCCCATTCTTTCTGTGGAGTGAGATCCCTCTTATCTGACTGCTGTCCTCGCTGCAGCTCTTTCTCCTCCTGTCTCTCAAGGATATTCCCACAGACCATTACATCTACCTACTCAGAAAGCTGAGGGGATAGCCACCTTTCCTGAAGAATGCTTAAGGGCCCACAGCTAGCTGTGATGACACATGCAACACAGTGACATCAGAGCACAACCCCTGCTCTTTCATACTTCCATCCTGATGTTGGATTCAACCATGTATATTACAGAGTTTGCTTTGTGATGTCACAGCAAATTGTTTGTCACTTGCCCCCACCCACACATAACCTAGGAATAGAGTACAGATGACTAGACCACTACATTTTTTGTTCTTCTGGATGACCTGCTAAGCCAGAGGTATCAAACACAAGGCCTACAATGTTCCCAAGTGTGGCCTGAACCAGATTAAAATGCAATTAGGAACTATTTAACAAAATAAAATAAAAATACAATAAAATGTAGATAATATTGCATTTCATAATAAATTTAGTCACCAATCACCAAAACTCCAGGCTTGCAACTCAGTTGCAAGTTTTTAAGCTGGGCAGTTTTTAAGTATATGGACATTTAGAAAAGTATAATCTTCCATTATGAAAACTAGTATATGTGGCTACAGACAGTGCAGCAGCAATGACAGGGAAGACAAATGGATTTGTAGCTAAATTACTGGCTAAGCAGAATGAAATTGCTCCTGATAATAAGTTTCATCATGTTCACTGCATTATACATCACAAACTATTGTGCTTAAAAGAAGTGAAAATGGAACATGTCCTGAAGTTTATTAAGAAAACAGGGACTTTTATATATTCTCGAGGATTGAATCAATAGCAGTTTTCTTCATTACTTTTGGAAATTGAAAATGAACAGGAAAATTTACTTTATTATGCAGAAGTTTGCTGGCTTTCCTGTCATAAGGTTTCGAAGTGATTTTGGCAACTTTGCCATGAAATTGAAATGTTTTTAAAATGAAAGGACAGTCACCACAGTAACTTCATAATAAGAACTGGTTCCAGGATTTGGCTTTTATTGCAGATACTATGGGGCATTTAAATGAGATGAATTTAAAACTTCAGGGTTGAAATTAGGTTGTAACATTTATGTACAACTACATTAAACCATTTAAGATAACACTTTGGGAAACTAAAAGAAATCACAACTAAAAATTGTGATTTCACTCATTTTCCTACATGTAAATCTGATCAAGAGTCATTTGGTTCTTATAATTTCAGCAACTATGCCTCAAATATTCAAGAATTACTAGTTTAATTTGAAAGATGATCTGAAGGGTTCAAAATGTATGAAAACAATTTTTTACTATTCTCAGCGCTCCGTTTTCTTTTGATGTTAAAAGAGCAAAAAGTAACATTCAAATGGAACTTGTTGAAATTCAGTGTAACACAGTGCTAAAAGAAAAGTATAATGAAGTTATTGTTCTAGATTTTTATTCTTATTTGCCAAGACATTTTGTGGAAATGTGCACGTTTGCTGCAAGAATCTTAGCAATGTTTGGTAGTACCTACCTATGTGAGCAGTTATTTTCACTCCTGAAGATTATTAAAATTTCACACAGGGTAAGATTAACAAATGAGCATTTATCATCCATACTGAAAACTGAGTTATCACAAAAGTTGTACCCGATATTCATAAAATAGTTTCTGGTAAAAGAATTTTAAGTTAATTTTGAACCTTCTCATAGTGACATATTTTGTAATGATTTTGAATCTATTTGAAATTAAAACATAAAATTGTATGCTTCTTTTTATCTATAACTAGTTCCTACCTGATTTGTTTGCATGTAGGTAATAAATATACAAAAATACACATACATCCTCATATTTGTAATAATATGTTTCTTTTTTATGGATTAGTTATTTCTAGTTCCTATCTGATTTTAATGTATTGATCTTTTAATAAAAAAATAAATATATAACCATGTGTGTTTTTCTAAGTCACTATGCAGCCCACAGGGATCCTTATGTACAATTTAGTGGCTCCTGTTTCTATCTGAGTTTGACACCACTGTGCGAAGCTCAATCTTTCTTGCTGTATCACCCAAAGAGGTAAGACATGCGAGCAGGCCAACCATTTCTAAGGAAGAAAGCAGGTTAGTAATTATTCACCATCATTTGTAGAGTCTAAGAAAAAGAAACTGAAAAAAGGCTTATACTTTTTCCATGCATAGGGTGAGGGTTTGGATGACTGGGAAAATACCTCACTGTTACTCCTTTCAGAAGGACAGTTTAAAGAAGCAAGTGAGAATCTAGATGGTTTCTATGACAATCTTGTCTGCCTGGGGTTTTCAAACTTTTGCAGGCTGCGGAACCTGTTAGTTTAAAAACAACAACTTGGAACCCTGGCTTAAGAGGCAAAATTCTAGTCACAGAAAATTTGCTATGTCTGAGTGAACTTTTTTCCCCTTAGTCTCTCACCAAATCCTATCACATTCTCACCAAACCCTCTGGATCCACAGAAGAGTTTCAAAAACCCTGTGGCATGCTCCCAGCCCACTTTGGTGTAGTGATTAAAGGCACCAGTCTAGAAACGTGAGTTCTAGTCCAGCTTTAGGCACAAAGCTCTCAGCCCTGGGAAGAAAACAAGGGCAAATGATGTCTGAAAACCTTGCCAAGAAAACGGCAGGGACTTGTCTAGGCAGTTGCTAGGAGTCAAGACTGACTTGAAGGCACCAAAAAAATGCTCCCAGCCCAGAGAGAGAGAGAGAGAGAGAGAGAGAGAGAGAGAGAGAGAGAGAGAGAGAGAGAGAGAGAG